TATGGTGAAAAACTGACTTTGAAAAATAAATCTGTTCCTTTTTTCTTATAAAAGTCTAAATAAAACAAAAATATTGGTGGTAATTTTTGAYTGTGTAACTTTACAAATGGCAGCCCATACAGGCCCACTGTGAAGAGGACCCAAAGCCTTCAGACATGTGAAGGAATTTTTCTTTTTTTTCTTTTTGCTTTTATTATTCAAACAAAAAAGTAGTTTCAATAAAGGATTTCTATCTAAAAAAAATTTGCAAAAAAAGCTATTTCTTGGTGCACTCGCTTTAAATCGAATGTTTTCAGTCCGTTAAATGGCCATTATTAGCAGTTATCAGTTCCATACATTGTGTGCACACTGTCCTTCCTCTACCTCCTAGTAGGCTGGAAGGCACTTATCAGTCATTTGTATGCCTGATAATATACATTCAGGCACAGTGGGTTTGGCTCCTCCCCCGGGACGTGGAGCTCATTGTTGGCCCGGCTCACTGTCCTTTGACCAGGGGAAGCACTCAGTCTGCGGCATGGAGATCCAGGCTGTAGCCGATGGTTGCCCCAGACGTTGCTAACAGTTGCTAACAGACACACAGTGGAGTTTCCAGGTCTGCTCAAACACCTCTGTGGTCTGATTAACATTTCCTGAAACATTTCTATGAGAGGGGAATGTATTTAATCTTAGAGAACCAAAATCCCACTATTAAACTAGTTGTTTTCTCTGGTTTATATCTTAAAAAGTACCAAACAGATTTATATGCGACTTTCAGGAAGTGTTTATTACACCACAGCTGATTAAAGTTTGAAACGTTTTAGAGCAYGAGAGGGCCCAAGCCAGCCACTCGGAGCTCCAGCGGTTGTCACATGTTGATGATCCGACTGGAGCAGCGCAAATTTTTTTTTATTAAAACATCTTTTTTGTTTGATTGAATAATTAAACAAAATGACCTTCATACAGACACAGGGTGATCAGTGTACATTTTGAGCTACTTGATGCCACAATGAGTCCAGGTTTGCACCTTCGGTCTCTGCTGCTGGTGACTYACCAGAAAGCCAGTAGAATTATCCAGGAGGCAGCGGAAGCGACAAACAAAACTCCTCTCCAAGAAGGAAGAGTTCTCCGGAGGAAGMTGTTCAGGATTATAGGGGACCAAGGCGGAGCTGCTTTCTGGTTCCATCTCTGAGAACACAAACAGAACCTGGACCTTTATCTCTCATTGGGGCAAATCTTTCAATCTTTGTGTAAACTCTCTCTATTTGGAATCTTAATTTGATTAAAAGTATGATTCTTCAAAAAAACTTACGATTATTGAAGATAAATAGTAAAATAAATGAACATTTTAAATATTTTTGAAAATGTATAATTGAAAAATGGTGTGTGTGTGTGTGGGGGGGGTGTTTCTGGTGACATTTGGGGGCAATTTTAAGACAAAATGCTTTCATTTGGGGACAACTGGTGCATTTGGAGACAAAAGTCGAGTCCCCATTTGGTTTCAATG